GTGTGCGTGATGTATTTTACATGGAGAACAGCGTATGTTAACATACCACTCATCTTACTCACCAGCTCCATCAACTTTCTCTGCATCTCCTTGCACTGGGTACACAGTGAAAGGGCCACACACAAGTATAGCTGAAGTAAATTTAAATTTAGAAAATAAACTCTTGACATGCACACACTCACACACACATGGACACACAGGTCCCCATGACAGAATTGAAAACAGGTGCCCACTACGTATCTTGCATTTTTTAAAAATACAAAAGTTTGACCTGAATGTTTTTGCTTGAGTTTAGAGGCACTTGTATAAAAGAAGAGTCAGATTGTTGTGTGTGTGTGTGTGTGTGTGTGTGTGCGTGCGTGCGTGCGTGCGTGCGTGTGTGTGTGCGTGCGTGTGTGAGAGAGAGACAGAGATAGAGACAGAAACAGAGGCAGAGAGAGAGAGAGAGAGAGACAGACAGACAGACAGATAGAGAGTGTGTGTGTTAACATGGAGGCATTCAGTTCTGTGCTGCATGCTAGTGGAGCAGCACAGCACAGACCCACACTATATTGGAACCACATTTCTCCCTCTGCTCAACCCTAACACACAGTGTCAAGTTAACATCAGGATAAGTTGCAGATACATCGCTGTGAACATTAGAAACTACCACATTTAATAAGTTTCGATACAGCGACCGTAACAGTATCCTGGTTACGTCTTTGACCGATGTGGGTGAATGATCAAACTGCGTCGATAGCTGTTCTTTAACTTTTGACAATCTGCTTGAAAACATAGGGATTTGGAAACTCCAGGCTCTAGATGACCTTGCTCCAGTCATAGTGTCTTTTTCTGCAGACACAGGATCTGGTTAGTAAAGGAACTGGTCCAATGAGAAACAGAAGGCAAAGAGCTGTGAGGAAAGGCACAGGAGAGAAAAGATGGAAGCCATGATGGAGGAGCTGATGATAAATGCCCCACACTTTGTTTTTCCGGGTTATTTAAGGAGTTTATTTCCAATTATTTCGTGACTGGTCATGGCTTTCGACTGCTGTTGCATTTGAGCATGTGGTGTTTATTAAGTCTGAATGTGAAATTACTTCGCAGTCTGACAGTAGACTGACAAAATCTTAAATACTGTCAACAGCAGTTGTCCCTTACAGATGCAGAGTCTGAGACTCGCTGTTTGCAAGTATTTTCACCACTCAGTCCAATGTGGTGAAGCTTTGTGTGTGTGTGCGCGCACGTATGTCTGTGTGTGTGTGTGTTACTCTTCAAACTGATGTAATAAGAGTTGTTACAGCTGAGAGAAAATTACAAGCATCTCTGTGCTTACATGTGGGAACATGATGCAACTTTATAAACACATTTTTTCCCTTACAATGAGCATTGTTAATTCACAACGTAATAAAAGTTTCAAGACTTTTGTCTCTCATGTTGTGTTAGTTTTGAGTGTTTATTGGCAAATAGCAGTGTTGAAATCAATGTGTGCATCTTTTGATGAGAAAAATCATTGTCCACACACCGGAAAGAAATTATCCCAATGGTTTTTACCTCAATTGCCTTTGCTTGGCCTTTCTTTAAAAACATTTAGTTTCAATTCAAGTTTTGTTTTTGTGAATTAAGTTTCAAGAGGTTGATCTTGCTTATATGTTCCAGACTTTATCTATTTGCAGTAAACATCCTACTCTAAATCAAATAAGATTATTTAAAATGTTCTAAAATGTCCTATTTATCCCTTTAAAAATCTGTAAATAAAGGAGAATGTCACAAGTCATTGTTTTTACCTCTCCGAAAACTGTCTTCTTCTAATATACCGTTAAGATCTTACATACATAAAATGAATATAAAGAGTACCATTAATTTATATGTACTTTTTCTTTTTTTTTTCCAAAAAATCAATACACACTCTTTTCTCTTACCTGACATTTTATTTGTTTGTGACATTTTTTAACACAGCTGTAGTTTTATATCCGTAAATAATTTAAAATGTGACTTTACAGTTTCAACTTTCTGATGGACCCCAGAGCAGGTCTGTTTTATGGCAAGTGACAGCAACACTTTTTTTTTCTTTTTTTCTTTTGCTGTTGCAGGACTTATTGATACAATATGCATCGTGAAGAGGTTCGTGCAGCTTAAAAACCAAATCACATGTTTATGTTGTGCTGGAATCTAAAAGACATGGAAAAAAAGTACACCTGTCTTTGACGTTCAGTCTGAAAATATTTCCCTGTTATTGCAAAAACATTTCATAGGAAAACATCCCATCCATGTGCATGTTTTCTACTATAAACCAGCCAACACTGTTTGTAAGAGTCCATACAGGCGTACATAAACCTGTTTGTATTCCAGTGTGCAAGGGAATATGCAGGGCTACAGAAATGAGGCATGGCGCTGACTGATGCTGCCCGCCTCTCTGCTCCATTGAGCTGGCTTTTCTATCAGATAGACAGCTCAACAGTATCCAGACCCCACTTTTTGTTCCACATACAAACACACAGAGGAACTACAACACATCCATACGCATATACACTCACAAGCACATGTGCAGATATGTATATGGAGTTTGCTTTCTTTTTAGAGGATTTTCTAGCTTAAAATGGTCCTTTTCTTCTTTATACCCTAGTACATTTCACAATTTCTTATTGGTCTGACAAGAGTAACAGATTGAATTTCCATTTTAAATGTATTTAGAAATGTAAAATAAAAATAATTTTAATAAAGAAAAAAGTTAAATTAAAAATTAAAATTAAAATTTTTAACATACCATAGTAGTAATCATGCATTTTTCTTCCTGTTATACACACTGACATACACATGTTCGCGGTCAGTGTTGGTAATGTCATTACTTCACTCTAACTGAGTTCACAGATTTGAAGCTTCAGGGCTTGCTTGTGTCCTCAGAGCATATCTTTTATGTTTGGCCTTTGTGATCTTCAGATTTCCTGACACCAGGAGGGTTGATGGACTTAGCATTCTTTTCTACTTTGATGAAGGATGCAATGTCAGTCGGCATGCAAGAGCTTGGCTAGAAAGTCGGTCAGTAGTGCTGTTTTATTTGGCCTGTGGCTATTGTGTGTGCGAGAAGGCAATATTCTCTCTGTAACCCAACTGACGGTTTAAAAAAATTAGCGTTTATTTGATCATCCATGCTGCTTTTACAGCTGTTATCAGAGAAACAGTGTTTCTAGCAGCTCAGTGTTCTTGATGGTGCGCTGATGATGTGTGCACAGGGTTCCTCACTGTGTATTTGAGCAAGGCTGGTTGCCTTCTGCTCAGATCTCAGGTGAGGAAAAGCCTGGAATCACTCATCCTGACAGCCACATCTGGCGCTATTTTCTCTCTTTTGCTGCCCTAAACTCTGCCCTTGCAAACTTGCACCACTCAGATTTACCACAGAGGAAAGAAGTTATGATAATAGCGGTTATGATAATAGTGGTTATGATAATAACTACTATGAAACTGGTGTTATTGGCAGTTATTAATGGGATTGGGAGCAGACAGTTAACACGGCAGAAATGCACTGCTGACGAGCGCACTCTGCAATAAAACCATTGTTGCTGCTAGCACTCTTTTGTTTGCATGCTTTCCTCCCGCTGTTGCTAGAAGCTGAATTAATTCCAGGCGCAACAAGCAATCTTTTTGTTCTCCCTATTTGCTCTGTGGATTATACTAAACCACGGCTTTATTGAGAGTAAAGCGTACGGTCAACACTGTGTATGAAACCGCATTTGAACTCAAACATGACGTATAAACGATAAGCAAATGTTTTCCAACTTTGAAGTAAAGAATTGTATCTCTACCATCATTTAAATAAAAATAAACATTTTAGAAAATCTTGTACTTTTTAACAATTTGTCATGTATCCAAAAGAATAACCTTCCAATCACTGGGGTCTACTCTGCTTTCTTCTCTGTTCCTCACTGCTTGTAGTATCAGTTGGCATGATCAGCTGGTGCCAAACTCACGACAACTTAGCTGGATCCAGACAGGCACACAGTCTTCATCTGTTTCCTGTTGATCCTAGGAAGTACAGGTCAGAGTTCAGGGTAATATTTACGTTAAAGGAACGACTCCAAACAGATTAGGTTTCAAAACAAGAGCCTGAGGTGTCCAGGAGCAGCCCACAGTCACACATTAAAAGATAAACAAACACTTTTAGTTCTCTTACCATATGCCACCATCTGTTTAAGTGGCCTCAATTTTATAGGAAAATGCTCTGTAACAGATTAATTTACTAAAAGAGAAACAAGAAACTGATTTCTACAAAATGTTGATTTTTTTATGTCACATTTGTGCAAAAAGTAGTATCTGGCCATTTCTTTTTACATTACAATTCTTATAATATCTGCTAATTAAGAGTTCACATGTGAAATAATGTCACAATTTGTTTTTGCCATTATTTAGGCCTTACTGTGAGCTAACAATAATTTTCTTCATGGGAAGAAAATTAAAGCTAGGGACATAATGAGAACCAATTCATTGGCAATTTAGCCATGCTAACATCAATTGTAATTAGAGTTGTACTTGTATGCTTGTTGTCAGGGTGGGGTTTTTTTTATATAATGAAATATAAATTTGTTGTAATTAGAGTTGTACTGATGATGCTTGTTGTCAGGTTTTGTCAGGGTGGGGTTTTTTTTTATATAATGAAATATAAATTTATTCTGAGTACCTTTGCTTCCTTTCATGGTCCAGAGACCTGTAGAATTGTGATCTATCCAAGGTTTGTTCAGCACTGTGCCCCACGTCTGCTGGGATTTACTCCAGCTCTTCCTGCTCGATAACAGGATAAGTGGTTGAAGATGGTTGGAAAGATAAAATTGCAGCTGAGATAACTGTAATGGTACATAAACCACAAATTAAGTTGCAGATATGACTGCAGAATAATCGAAGGAGATTGCTACAGAACGAGGACATGATTCCCACATGCTCTTCATCTCATCTTCTTACTGTATGTTTCTGTATATCAAGCTCCAGAGAAGAATCAAAGTTACAACTGCTTTGTGGGTTTCTCCCAGCCAGGTCTTTAGACAAACTGTACAACTTTGCCGATTGTGCCGGACTACATCTGATCTTTGGGCTCAATGCGCTGCACAGGAACCCTGACAACTCCTGGAACACCTCCTCTACCCTCAGCCTTTTAAAGTACAGTGCTGGCAAAAAGTACAATATCTCCTGGGAGCTGGGAAACGGTCAGTATATCATCACTTCACACTTACCTTAAAATAAAATGTCAATTTCTGCAGTAAGAAAAGCCATATGTGTTATCCTAAGATTGATGCACAGCTTAAGGTACTTCCATTTCACTTGACAGAACTTCACTGTTCTTCTGGTAATAACCAAGGTTCTAACATTTCAGAGAGTTACATTTTACATATAAGTGACTCCATAACCTAAATCAAGAGTTCAGCGCTACAAGATACCTTGAACTTGGAAAAATAAAAAAAATATATCAGACTTGAGCATATAGCTTATTGGAATTTTTTTTTTTTTTTGCATTAGAATAGTGTCATTGGAAAAAAATGCCCCTGTTTGATCATCTAACAATTACTGGTGACAGAATCCTCAAAAAAGAAACTGTGTCCAGCAGATTGAGAGTTAAAGCAAGGCTTGATTCAGGGATGAAAGGAACTGCTAGTCCTCATGTCATCCTAAACATCTGCGTTCCTTAGGAAAGGCCGTGCACACACAACCCCGTGTTCGCCTGCTGCACATCAGTTCATATTTTCATCTCATTTCATCTACAATAAAGCTCAAAAAGAAATTTTTATTTCATCTGAAGCCTAGGAGTACCATGCAGAATCGATTGATTGGACCATAGGAAAGTTTTGGTGAGGTCCTTCATTTCAGAGAAAAAAGTAATTTCATCTAAATTATCAAGACAATGTTGACATACAGCAAATTTGGGGTTAAATGAAAAAGGTTATCTTTTAAGTTCTGCCAATACGGTTCTGTTTGTGTTTTTTCAGAAAACCTTTATGCTTTTGTAGCTTGAAGAATGTAGATTTTGAAGTGCAATGATTTAGTGTCTATTTAATTTAAATTTAAGTCTGTTATTGCACATTTACTGTATATTTTAATTAAGTCATAATAAATAAAAGGTTTGATACATTTATACAAAACCTCATGTTTACATTCATATATAAGCTCTGTAATAAACTAAAAACCATGTATATTAACCGTTAATTACAAACCTACAAAACCCACACTTTTTGTATCAAATGATACATTTAAAACATTTCTTTAAAAAGAAAAAAAAGAACAATACCATGTTTATTACTGGCTAACATCCCCTTTTGCTTTAATTTACTATTTATGAATGTAGAGTGGTAATTGTTTGTTTTTTTTACTCCAGTTTTCCACAATGAAAATTACTATGGCAATTTTTTCTTGTTAGAATAACATTCTAACAAATAATATTCTTATAAACTCCAGATTTTAGTTTATTGTTGTTTTTTTGTTTTGTTTTATTATTACAATGAGCATTGTACATAGCTGCTACTCTGATGCTGCCGGGCCACCATGTGTGCTTGGATCGTTCTACTGACATTGAGCCATATGTCCGTATTTCTGCGAATTGCCCAATTATCCCCTTTTCTACTGGCTGTTAATCAAAAGAAAAGCAAGATCAGACTACAACAATAACAACAATTTTCTCTGTCACCTCCCCTTTGTTGCTTTTACAAACCTCTTCTCTTCTTCTTTCTTTTCCTAGAGCCTAACGCCTACCGCAGCATGGTGGGCCGTGCTGTCAACAGCACCCAGCTGGCTCAGGACTACGCCAAGCTGAGGACTCTTCTGCAGTCTGTACGCTATTACCACCGAGCTCAACTCTACGGCCCCAACGTAGGACGTCCTCGGAAAAACGCTATACTGCTATTGGATGCGTGAGTCAGCAAATAAAACATTGACTGGGCGCCATTCCACTCCTTGTTAGGCTATCCTGCTGGGAACAAAGGGGGAAGGTAGTGGAAAGTATGCTGCAGCAGTTTAGGTCTTTTACTGAAGTTTACTGTTTTCAAAACACACACACACACACACATACACGCACGCCCACTCACACACAGACACACAGAGCAATATCCATTGTTTATGGATTTCCACTTTGCAGGCTACAGGGTCTCAGCTACATTTAGATCATGTCAGCTTAAATAAAGTGTCGTCTGACTGATAATGTGGCTGAACAACGTCCCACCTGCTCGTTTTACACAGAAGCTCCATCAGCTTCACTTTGACTAGCATCTCTCCTTCTCTCTCTCTCTCTCTCTCTTTCTCTCCCAGCCTCTTTGCCTCTTACTTTCTCACTCTCTGTCTCTTTTTGTCCCTCTGTCTTATGTGTGTTGCAGCTTGTGCCCATCTGAGTGTTGTAACATCACACTTTGTAGTTTAACTGCAAAAGTTCACATGCCGTTTTTAGCTTTGCTATCTTCTAGCTATCTCAAACTTTTAGTAACTTCACTGATGAAGTTTGTCTACAGTCAGTCAAACGTAGTGCTGCTAAGTTGAAAGAGCCTGTCTAGGTCATGTTTACAAAGCAGCTGAGATGTAAGTCTCCTGTTCACACGTTATTTTCTAAAATGAAACAAGAGGAATTCAATATGTGATTTTGGTAGCTTTTTTGGCAGTCATTCTGAATATCTTTTGTGAAAATTGCTAGCACATGCCTCGGCTCAATCCACCGACTTAGTACAACTGTAAAACAATACCACGCAAAGCGAATAAACAGCAATACTGTAATGGATAGGACACTTCCTATTGTCAGCAACTAAAAATTCCAGAAATCCAGAAATCACAACAGGGTCAAATGCGTGTCACTCTCAGAGTTGCAGATGTACAGATTAAAAAGTACAGTACAGTGAATTGCACAGGTTTAAAAATAAAACTATTTTCCCAAAGGAGGCACCAGGACGACAGCTTTTGTTGGCCAGTGGTCAAACTGGACTGTGATACTGATTAGCAGGGTAACATTTTCCACCTTAAATGTGTATTGGTTCACTATTAGTCCATACACCTAAATTGTTCTAAAGAAAGTATTTTTAGAATCACTTTCTGACATATCAGTGTGTACGTCTGATATCTTGACTTGGCTCCAGCTCCACCTAAATAGAAAAAGAAATGCCATATAGTGGGTAGAGTACATACAATATTAATTAAAGTGAAACATTAAAAAAAAAAACTTTTTCACAAATTTTACTCCACAGTTTCTCTGATTGTTTATAGTAAACTTAATGTTTTTTTTTAAAGAATACAAAAATACCAGCAAGGAACTGTTACATGTTTAGTTGTTTTGACAAGTTTTGATTTAGTCCTGGGCAGAAGAAAGTTAGCATTAAACATCTGCTTTTTCTTCTGGCTGGAAGGGAGCTGTAATTACAGCACTTTAGTCAGAGTGACATGGTGGTGGAATATATTACAGTAAGTGGCGTGTTTAAATTAAAAAGGATAAGAAACCCTTTTAACAAAACCAGAGTAAACACATTTCTCGAAATTACATTTGTCCACATGTGACCGTCAAAACCTCAGGTCTAGATAATTATGCGATGCAGTAACATCTCAATTTCTCTGTGATTCTCAGGCTGTCAGTCACAGCTTTTTCTGTGTTCTCGCTCGTTTTGACAGGTAGGATGTTGGAAAAAAGAAAAAGACATTGAGCTCAGTGAGAACAGGGCAGGAGTATCTACAATATCTACAAGTCTTGGGTGTCACACTCAACACCGGGGTGATTCCTGCGTGTTTGACACTGTTACGAGGGGTTGGCTCTTGTGTTTGACAGTCCAACTACTCTGCTGCTTTCAGCAAATAAGATATATTAGACACTGAGCTGCTCAACAGTTCAAATATCGAAGCAGCATAGACTAAACAAGCCAGGGCAGTGAAAGTTGTTTCTGTCACATGGTGTTTAGAGACATACTTGTGATGTCTGTCAAGCTGTTACTCCCCAATATGTAGTGATTTGGGTCAGGTAGTACTGGGAAAATGAAATGCAAAAGTTTCAAGGATGGAATTGTCTTTGAAAATAGTGGAATAAAAAGATCACTGTATTGTTTAGCGTCCACAAGCAATGTTTAAATTTAACTAAGCTCACACCAAATAGTCGGCTCCAACAGTCGGCTCCAATCAGCTCCAGAAAACATTCACCTTCGGGCTTTCAAATGACCACCTCCCCCTCCCCTTGTTTTAGGTTTTATAGGTTTCAGACTTTTCATATTGTCTCAAATCTTTTGTGAGGAAGGGAAATTAAGGTGAACATGTGTTCAACTAATAACAATTTTAATTTGTTTTACAAATATTTCTTGCCTCTGCTGCATTTCCCACAAAAATGTCTTAATACTGCATAATATAGTACAAGGGAAAATGTGGCTCATTATGCCTTTTTCCAATCTTAAACAATTCACGTTTGTGTGTTTTATCCCCCAAATGTTTTTGCCAACCCCAGTAGGTGGACTGAGAATACAAGCTCTTAGCATTATAACATTTAGAGGAAAATGTCATTGTACTGATGTTTCTTCTCTTTGTCTCACTTTCAGGTTCACAAAGAATGCAGGCTCTGTTGTTGATGCAGTTACGTGGCAACAGTAGGTATTTTACCCCTTTATTTTTCCTATTTTGTGCTAAAAGAAAACCTTAAACACAACCCTTTGTCTTCTGCAGCAGCAGACCAGTCATTTAACTAATCATAAATCTAACAGCACGGGACATGTTGTGTTTTTCCACCATTATCTCCACACTGTTTGTACGCAGTAGCCACTAATAACCACTATTAGCACCGTTACCTAAAGAGGCTGATGCATAATGACGAGAACTGTGTTTATCCTGCAAATTGAACAACAGGAAAAGGAGCCTGAGAGAGTTAAATTAGTAACACCTGCCATTTGTCTATTGTACGCAGCAGAGGAATGCATACAGACCTATCAGTGGTTTGATCACCCCCTCCACCCCCGTCTCCCCTACATCCTCCCTATTTTTATCTGTTCTCCTTGACACACATAAAACAAAACTTCTTTTTTTTAAGACACACCTCAGCTAAGCCTCATGTGACCAAGTGAGTGGTCATTAAGGTGAAGGTCAGGTCTAATTAGGAGAAATTAGAAGAAGACGGAAGAGGGAAGGACCGTCAGCAAGGCTTGCGAAAACACCACCCACACTGTTAAAATCAAACCATATGCTCTG